ATGCGATGCCATCATTAACAGTAACCGCTATCCACTAACTGAAGACCCTATTGAAGCTTGGAATAAAACAGGATTAGCAACTAAGGGTAAAGAGGTGATTTGGCAATATGTACAGTACAGTACTTCTCAACAACAATGGAAAAGCTCTCCCGCTGGAATTCAATTAGGGTTTACCAGTCGTGGAAGTAACACGATTAATTCAGGAAGATTGGTATCAGCAAGTGATGCTTTCTTGAATAAAGTAGGTTGGAATCCATCAACTTTTAACATTACTGCTATGCCGTCGGGAAGACCACCCGCAATCATTGCCAATGCTAACAATTTTTCAATTGATTCAAAAGATAAACGCCTCAGCCAGTTATGGAAAGCTATTCCAGCGGGTTATGACCCACGTCCTGAATATACAGCTTATACAAAAACATACGTATGGTGTAACAAATGGAATCGTTTGACAACTGTCAACAATAACCTATTCAGCTTACCATTTATGCGTTCTGCTGAATTATACCTTACTCGTTCTTTAATTTTATTTAGAGCTGGCGATAAATCTGGAGCATTGAATGACCTCAATATTGTTAGAAAAAGAGCAGGATTGGATAATATTCAAATCGCTGATTTTACAGAAGAGATGATTCATACCGAAAGAATGAGAGAATTGGCTTTTGAAGATGACAGATTATATTATTTACAAGCATTAAAGTTACCTATTCCATCTGGTGACCGTACCGAAGCTGATTTACCATGGAATACAGATAAACTAGCTATGCCGATTCCAGCTACTGAGACAAACATCAACCCTAATGCTAATAATTAGTTGATGTGGGCTTTCATATAATTTGAGAAAGGATGGCCTGATTGAACTTAATTGTATCAGAGGTCATCCCTTTTTTATTCATGCTAAACAATACTTACCCATTTTAAATAATCCTTATGAAATACTTTATTTCTTTATTATTCCTGTTAGTACTTTCTTTTAAACCTAAAGCACAAAATAACGCTAACAAAATTACACTTGGAGAGTTAGATTTGTCAAAGATTCAGCAAGGCTGGAATAAAGTGCATATCAATAAAAATCTTATGAACGAACCGTTATCAATCAACGGCGTCGTGTTCGAGAAAGGAATATGCACTCATGCCTACAGTGAAATAGATATTATGCTTAATGGTAATGGAAAGCACTTTAAAGCACTTGTAGGTGTAGATGACCACGTTGCAAAAATGAACATTGCTTCTATTTATTTTGCAGTAGTTGCGGATGATGATACACTATTTCTAAGTAAAAAGATGGGGAGTAATCAAGCACCCCAACCCATAGATATATTGTTGGAAGGTGTAAAATTGCTACGATTAATCACTCATGATGCCAACGATGGTACTAATCATGATCACGGGAATTGGGTGAATACTTCCATCGAATATTCTGGAGAACAAAAACCTTACATCCTATATGAAAAAGAGGAAGATTTTTACAGATTAAGTCCTCAAACAAGCGAAAAACCACGAATAAATGGAGCAAAAATTTCAGCCGCTCGTCCTAACTCTCCCTTTTTATATCGAATTCCCATCACAGGAGTTTCACCCTTGAAAGTATCTATTACGAATCTTCCTAAAGGTTTACATTTTGACCCTGCAAAAAGGTTAATCACAGGAAGTATAAAGGATAAAGGTGAATACTTCATTAAAATCGTTGTTTCAAATATCAAGGGGAAAGTATCTCGTTTGCATAAGATTGTTATCAGTGATGCCATGGCACTAACTCCACCGATGGGATGGAATAGCTGGAATGCTTGGGGAATGAATGTTTCTGAAGAAAAGATACGACAAACAATAAACGCAATGGATTCTTTGGGTTTAGTTAATCATGGATGGACGTTTGTAAACATTGATGATGGCTGGCAATCTGACAAAAGAGCCGATGACGGTACTTTGCCTTGGAATGAAAAATTTAAGGATATAAAAAAATTAGCAGATTATGCCCATTCAAAAGGGTTAAAATTAGGTATTTATTCTTCCCCCGGCGATTTTACTTGTGGGAGTAGATTGGGTAGTAGGAATTATGAACCCATTGATGCCAATACTTGGGCTAATTGGGGCATTGACTTATTAAAATATGATTGGTGTTCATACAAAAACAATATTCCTCCAAATGCTTCGAGGGTTGATTTTATGAAGCCTTATGGCATTATGAATAAAGCACTGAAAGCTACAAAAACACAAAGAGATATTGTTTACAGCGTTTGTTCTTATGGTTTAGATAAAGTATGGGAATGGGGACCCAATGTTGGTGGAAACTTATGGAGAACAACCAACGATATAACAGACACTTGGTTCAGTATGAAAGTAATAGGTTTTGAATCACCAAAATCTATCGCTTCTTTCTCTCGTCCAAACGGTTGGAACGACCCCGATATGCTTATTCTCGGCAAGCTCGGTTGGGGCAAAGAACTACGCAATACTCGCCTTACTTGCAACGAACAATATACCCATTTTACACAATGGGCGATGTTGGCTGCTCCACTTTTTCTGGGTTGTGACTTAACTCAAATGGATGATTTTACAATGGGTTTGCTTACTAATGATGAAGTGATAGAAGTAAACCAAGATTTATTGGGTAAACAAGCGACGCTTATTTATGAAAATGCAGATATACAAGTATGGAGAAAAGCATTGGAAAATAATAAGCAGGTAATTGCAGTCTATAATCTTGGCAGAAAAGCAACATCAATTTCCTTAGATTTTAAGGTCTTAGGACTTAAAGATGAAGTGTCGTTTCGAGATTTATGGAAGCAAGAAGATATAGGGACATTCAAGCAAAAATATACTTTAACATTACCTCGTCATGGTTGTAAACTACTTAAAATCAAATGATAAAAGCATATCTTTTTTATACGTTAATACTTTTTACCTTTCAGTTTAAAATTTTCGCAACTAATGAGTTTGATATTACTCAATTTGGAGCAAAAGGTGATGGTAAAACCCTAAATACTCAAGCGATTCAAAGAACCATTGAGGCTGCGGCCAAAGTTGGTGGAACAGTTGTAATTCCCAAAGGAAAATTTTTATCCGCTACAATTTTTCTTAAAAGTAATATTACTTTTCAAATCAATCAAGATGCCCATTTACTGGCTTCATCTAATATTAAAGATTATCAAACCATGACTTGGGGACATCACAAAGACCGTACT